TCTGTTTTCTTAGCAGTTAGCAAGGTACTACATAGCCTTATGGTCCAGCATCGTTCTGTTTCTAGGAGGGGAACCGACGATTTGCCACCTTTGCTTCGTTGAGTTTGTTCCCAGATGGCCAGATCCGCACACTCCAGTTGTCAGCCTGCCAACAACCCTTATGGTGTCCGTTGCAAAGTAACAGAGTGCGTTGGGTTCTCGTCCGCGATAGCCGACTGGCTCATCGATGCTGTGTCAAGATAATTGAAATGCCCACCACCTGTTCTTTGTCGAGCATTTGGCCCAGGCAAGGGAGCAATTTCCAGCGCTGGTTTTGAGGTATCTTAGGTAGGTTGCCCGAAAGCGGGAGCCCAGCGCTATATGCATCTCATCGCGATTCACCAGCGCCCCGCTCGGGCCGGAACTCTAGGCGAGTCGCCTATGGGATGCCGAGCTCGAAACCTTTGTCACACAACCACTTTCATTCCAAGAGTCGGCGCCACTGCCTGACCCGGGCGCGGTATACGTCAGCAGCGGATATGGAAGAGACCGTACCATCTGTACCCGACTAACGTTCTTCGGCAGCGCCCCCAAACCTTAATAACAAAAACGACGACAACATCGACAACGGACCTCCCTCATAGATCATCCGGGAGCGGATTGTCTACAGTCACCCCGTCCCGTGGGCCTCGACACGGTGGACTTGCAGCGCAGACCACGTCTCGAACTGGCCGGCGCACAGCCCGCAACGGAGATCCGACTTAAAAACCCTCAGTCAGCATCTTCACCTCCAAATCAACGTCCAAGCTTAAAGCGACATGCGCACTCACCTCCCTCACAAACGGCCTCTTGAGCGGAAACACGCGGTCCTCGGTGAGTAGGACGAACAGCTCGCTCTCGGCCTCGCCCACCATGCCCGCGGCGCTGGCTGAGGACCATGATGAAGGCGTGCGACACGTAGGCGTAGGTCGGGTCGGCCTGGCCGCGCCGGTTCGGGATGAAGAGGCGCACGCCATCCAGGGCCGGGCTAGGCGGGGAAGAGGGGGAGGCGGTGCCGGCTGTGGCCAGCCTGGCGCGGAGGAAGGCCGACTGCGGGTCGAGAGGCGGGGCGAGCGGCCCGGGTTCCAGGCGCGGCGCGATGCCGTACGTCTCCTCCACGCCGTGGGCGACCAGGAAGCGGTCGAGCACGACGATGGGGACGTTGAAGCCGCGCAGGAGGGTGATGAGACCCATTCTTTTGGGTTGTGGTTCGGGAGGCGCTGGGCTAGGCTGGGTTGGGCTGGGCGGAATTGGAATCTAGTTCAGGTTAGCACGCGCAGCAGGCGACCCTTCGCTGCGCTGAGAATGGTATATCTTGAACCAACAGCCAATATGTTTCCCATTGCGGACCAGATCTCCTCTTCCCCTCGCCCACCAGATAACGCCATACGTTCCGTCTCGCAACATCGACCCAATTTTGGCCCCCAACAACAAACCAACACACGTCCATGATGCCCGCGCTCGGTTCCTCACCGCTCTACCGCTTTGGCCATGCCCTCCTCGGGCTGTTGGCGCTGAAGTCGTGCGTGGTCCAGGCCGCGGGCGGCATCGTCGAGGTGGACCTGGTGTTTCCGCGCAACGAGACGTACCGCACTGGCAATATCCCTATCCTCTTCGCCGTTCGGAACTCGCCGCTGGCAGTGCCGTTGACCATGCACATCGGGTGGACCGTGTGGGAGACCAGCCCCAACAAGCTCCTGACCGACTATGGAATCCGCGAGCTCCACTGCGACGAGCTCGGGAAGACCGACCCCTTCTTCACGGTCGAGCGCGCCAACCCGGCCAAGACGACCGACGCCCAGGCCACCTGGGTGCTCCTCTGGAGCGTGCTGTCGGCAAACTGCACCGCGGCGGGGGGCATCAGCCAGCTCGGCCAGTCCCAGCAGCTGGCCTTCACGACCAAGAAAGGCGCGCAGGAGCCCGACCTGCTGCAAGGGACGGCGGCGTGCGCCCGCTCGCCGGGCATCACCTTCAACGTGACCGACACGATCGGTATTGCCGGGAGCAGCAACTACGGGCGGGCCTCGTGCAACGTGCTCGCGCCGGGAGACCCCCCGGCGGCCGACGTCTGCGCCCTCGAGCTGGGCCCCGCGGTGGCGGTGACCATGGCAGAGAGACCAATGGACTCACATTGGTGTTCTTCGGCCATATCGACGACCTCCCCCACCCCCAGCACCAACGCAGCAGCACCAGCAGCACCCGCAGCTCATGTTGCCCGGGCCGTGTGGCTGGCATTTCTTGTGTCTTTGGCCGGTGTGATGATGATGTGATTGTACATACTAAACGGGCAAGCCTGGAGGGAAGCCTGGAGGGACGCCTGGGGGGAGCCTGGGGGGGAGCTTGGGGCGGAGCCTAGGGGGGTTTGTGTTCAAGTTGGGTTAGGCATAATTTTAGTTCGGGGCTGAGGTGGTGGGCGGCAGTGACGCGAGTTTTCCCGTCTTCAGCTTTCCAAGGGCGGCTTGCCGCGTTGGGTGCATGTTGGTTCAAGTTGTTGTTGGTTCTACTTTTCTCCGTACGACGTCTTGGCCCCTGTGACCCCCGTTCCCTGTCTCTGGAGCCGTTCTCTGGGCCACCGGGATCGCTGCCCGGGCTGAGCTTGGCTCGATCGGTCCCTGACTTGGCCGAGCTTGGTTAGATCGCTCTCTGCCACACCACGGAGAAGAATTGAGCCATGTCCAACCATTTCGAGTCTTGTCGCCCTGCCACGCCGAAGCTTGCATTCTTCGCGCTGCAGCTGGCACACCAGACGAAACTGACAGGCTTCGGTTGGCCCGTCTAACTGACTCAGGGTCACTACATACATGCAAGGTCTTTCACGGGCGGGCACCTCCTTTGCTCAGCAGCATGTGTGAAATCTAAGGTTCACAACCTTATGGGAGATTCTCACCGGACGAGGTGAAGATCAGTGAAAGAACGCGGCAAGGAGCACATCTAGCGTCATCCAGTTGTTGGCAACGCGTATCAACACCCAACTCTAGCGAGAGTCTCCTCCACCATGCCTTGATGGTCTCCAACTTCCTCATTCCCACCGGAGCCCCGTTCATTCCCTATTCAGTCTGCCTTACTACCCCCCACCAGGCTACCTACTCCATTTACCTCGTGGTCCATTTTCCCAACCCATTTCCCCTTTCTTTCTCTCCCTCTCTCCCTCTCTCCTCTCTCTCTCCCCTCCTCCTCTTTTCTCCTTTGTTCGTTTTTTGTCCTTGAGAAGTAACGTGAAGTTTTGCAACCGGCGAACTCAGTAAGGCCAGGAAATGGAGAGATGGGCTTCTCGAGTGTCTCAAACCACTGGATCTACGATTGCGGCGTCTGGGAATCTCCGCTCCGTGTATTGCGGCTGCGACCGACTTGACGCACCCGAAGCCTTGACCTTGAGGGAGGTGGCTTTCAGTTGTTGTTCAACCTGTTCTCCTACACTCAAGCGTGGCCATTGCGTCTCAAACAAATCACCACAGTCTAGAACATTACCAGTAAATTTATTTCACGCAATCGCAGTGCCCGGCACTCCCGGAGTAACAACCACCACTCCCCCCCCCTCCTCCCCAAAACCCCCTACAAAAGCCCGCCATCGGCCAACGCCTCCCGAAACCCCGCCTGCGACAGCTCCGACGACACCACCACATACACATCATACCGCGTCGCGTTGAGCGCGTGCACCTTGCACAGGCCCTTGCGCAAGAACTCCCCACGCGCGCCAGGTACTCGGTCAGGTCGCGTGCGCCGGCGGCCGCCTTGGCGATGACGAGGAACTGGTCGCCGCGGCCCGTCGCCCGCTGGTTCTGCCAGTACACGGCGACCGACGGCGGGCCGCCCCGGAACGGGTCCACGCCCGCCGCGTGCGTCTTGAGCTCCGCCGCGGAGAGGTCGAGGTACTTGCCGTCGACGATGGGGTAGCCGTCGACGGTCCAGGGCTGGGTGAGGCGGCTGCCGGTGTTGTCGGGGTGGTGGGCGAGGGGGTCGTTGTCCGTGCTTGCGAGGTTGCTGTCTGTGTCTGGGGGGTTGGTGTTGGTGGGAGGGTCCATGGCGGGGGTTCTTTGGGAGAAAGGTGAGTAGTGAGACTTGATTAAAGAGGTTTTGGTGGGGAGAGGTGCTTACTTTGTAGGAGTATGCCTTAGGGGGTGTTGTTTCTATTGCTTGCTCAAGGTCGAGAGCCGAAACTGATGGAGGTACTGATCGAAGAGGGACTGAGCTTAGGCAGGATGCCCATATCTTTCTATCATCTTCGTCGCTCACGCTTCTGCGGCACTGTCACATGCTAGGGGGCCCTTTGCCCGTTCGTCTGGAGCATCCGGCCCTTCTTCCTGTTCAGGTGCCACCAGATCACACGGCGATGGAACCAATCTTCCGCTGATGCAAAACTGTTACCAAGTTTCAGAGAGCCGTGTTCGATTTGTCCTGAGATTGCCATGCACGGACAGAAACACTTTATTGGGAGGTTCTTTATTGGCTCGTCGACTCAAGTTTGCCTCTGCCTTGCAGCCAACAGATCCAACACATCGTGCCAACATGCTCATCATGTCTCTTCAATTCGTGGAGATGTCCCATAGGACCTGCTGCCAAGCTGGGGCACAGAGCGGGCAAAACCCTGCCAGTTTTTCTGCGAAATGGAGTTTCCTGCATGTTGGCACGGCTCAGATCGCGATACATTGGCGATTAGGGTGTTGAGGTTGAGGTATAGGCAGATATTGGGGCAGTCTGATTGACGACTCAAGTCAAGAGTTTCTCCGCATTCTCTTCAATCTTTAAACTAATCCGCCATGGTATTCTTGGACCACTCCAACGACGCACAATGTAGGAGTTCCTGGGTTTATTTCCCACACATACTACAGTCCGTACCTACGCTTAGCCACCTCGGACAAATGTCAGAACGGTTTTGTGTCCTGAAAGGGAGTCAAATCACACAGAATAGAGAAGCCCCCCTGAACTCTGGCCGCCTTGCACGTGGTATCCTTGGTTGGATTTACCGCCAATAACTTTTTAATGACAACTTGGCCGAGTGGTTAAGGCGACAGACTTGAATTACCACATTCGCTATCTGTTGGGTTCGCCCTCACAAGTTCGAATCTTGTAGTTGTCGTTGATTTGTTTTTTGCGCTTTTTCTGTCGAACACCAGCATGCTTTCCCTGTTTTGCCAGTCAAATTCCACGGCGATGGTGTTCTGTCTTCAGCCACGAGAATGGCCCTCCTTACCCGGGACCGAATACCTTAAGTCTGTGGGCACTTCTTCCAGGGATCCCTGCAGTCTGTAGCACGCAACACTTCGGCAACCGTTCATGTTGGAGTTTATATCATCTTGGCACCTTCATCTCGGTGCTTGGTCAACGGATCGGTCCCGAGATCTCGGCTCCGGTGTGCTCGCTACGAGGCAAACCTGGCTGTGTGGGAGGCTCGTAATCCGGCTAAACAATGGTTATTAGTGTCTGATAGTCATACACTCTACAGAAGAAATAGACAACTACAGGGAGTGCTGTAGATAGGCACAGTTCCTTCCTACCATCACCAGCCCTGAGACACGCCGTGACTTTGTCAACTTCCCCTTGCTGGGCCCCTGTCGAGTTGCACAAGCCGGGTCCGGGACGCAGCGAACCTCCAAGACAAGGTCACATCGAATTTGATGAATTGCATCGGGCCCGCCACAAGTCCGGTCTCACCTCCGGCGGGCATCCGGACTCAGGGGCTGGGCAGTAGCCAGGCGAGACGAACAACGAAACCCATGGATATCATCACCTCGACAAACCTCCGAATCTCTACACTCCTTCTCGTGTCTGAGACATCCAATCCATCACCATACACTGGACTATAGCTTAGCTGCTCAGCCAGTCTTCCATCCACCGGCGTCATGTCCGACACCGCAGACAAACCCCTCCCCGCAATCCTCATCCTCTGCACCTCCTCCACCGCCCCGGGTCGTAAGTCACATCCAGCCCCCCCCCCATTGCCCCCTCACCATCTAGCTCAAACCCCCCCCAGAACCAATCTCCCACCCCTTGCAAACCGCAAACAAGCCCCCCACCTGAACTAACCTCCAACTCTCCCCTGCCCAGACGTCCTCCCCCTCTGCGCCATCGCCCGCCACCTCACCGCCCTCTCCTACCCCGTCACCTTCGTCGGCGGCGTGCAGCACCGCGCCCTCATCGAGTCCTCGGGCAGCGCCTTCTTCCCCGTGCACGAGTCGCTGACCCTCGAGAAGGGGCCCTACCGCCAATGGGGCATGGAGCGCGCGCGCTACGCCGAGGGCCTGCCGCGCATGGTGCAGGACTTCAAGACTTTTTTTATAGGCCAGATCGCGGGCCAGGTGGCGAGCACGCGGGCGGCGCTGGAGGCGGTGCGGAAGGGGGTGGGGCGCGGGGGCAGGGAGGTGGTGGTCATCAACGAGACGATGTGGTTCGGGTACCTGCCGTGGAAGTGGGGCGCGGAGCGGCCCGAGGGGTATGCGGAGGGGGGGGCGATGCCGAGGAGTCTGGGGGTGAACGTCACGCCGCTGATGCTGGACGGGGAAGGCGTGCCGCCGTTTCCGCTGGGGCTGTTGCCGGCGGAGGGGAAGGAGGGGAGGGAGAGGGATGCGCTACTGAGGGAGTGGTTGTACAAGTACGTGGTGAAGGAGGCGTATGATGGGTTCAGGGAGAGGATCCGGGAGGCGGGCGGGGTGGAGGTGCCGGATGAGTGGATGATCAATCTGAGCGTCACGGCGCACGATGCCACGCTGCAGCTGTGCCATCCGCTGCTGGAGTATCCCCGGCCGGATCTGCCGGGGCATGTCAAGTTTGCGGGGAGCCTGCCGCCGAGCAAGGCTGTGCCCCCGGGGTTTAGGTTCCCCGAGTGGTGGCAGAAAGAGGTGGTCGAGAACGCGGCGCTGCCGGAGGGAGATGAGGCGAGACGGAGCGTGGTGGTTGTCTCGCAGGGCACGCTGGCGAGGGACTACAGCATGTTGCTGGCACCCACTGTCAGGGCGCTGGCTGGGAGGAAGGATGTTCTGGTTATTGCACTGCTGGGGAAGCAGGGGCTAGAGACGCCTCCTGGCATCTTGCCTTCGGCTGGGGAGGGGGTCAATGTCGACAACGTCCACGTCGTCGACTTCATCCCCTACGACTCGGTGCTCTCCTACGCCGATGTCATGATTTTCAACGCTGGGTATGGCGGGTTTATGCACTGCGTTGTCAACGGGGTGCCTGTGGTGGCGGCTGGTCTCACTGAGGATAAGTGCGAGGTTGCTGCGCGCGTGGAGTGGACCGGAGTTGGTCTCAATCTGCGCACAGGGCGGCCGTCTCCCTCCGCTGTGGCTGCAGCAGTCGATGAGATCCTGGGGAGCGGTGGCAAGTACCGCGCACGGGCGAAGGAATTGGCTGTTGAGGTGGCCAAGGGGAATCCTCTGGAGGTGGTTGAACGAGAGTTGCGCGCGCTGACTCGGGGGTAGTCGGTTGCTCGTTCAGATTATTTTGCGAAAATCCAGAACGATAAGGTATAAAGCAGGGTCCTTTTCCTTCAATTTTGTCTTCATCAGCTGAGGCTTTAAGCTAGCCCGTTTTACGTGGCAGACTGTTGACAAGGCAAGAATGACAAACCCGTGATAGGCACATCTCTAGCAGAAGGATTCCTAGATTGTCGAGCATGCAGTTTTGTATTGACCTTTGTACGTTGAAACGAAGTATATACGGTGCCCAGCCCCTTGTAGCACTCACACTCCTTCACTCCCTCCAGAGATCCACCGTGTTGAGTGCCACACTAGCAAGTGTTCTTGCCGTTGCCAGTGAAGTTTCCAGCCTGGTACATGCCACCGGCATCACCCAGGCACTCGGCTGCAGGTGTGGTTAGTGATATCCCCAACTTGACAATGATCAGTGCAACTCACCAACAGTGACCAGCTTGAGGTTGTTCTGCTTGGCCCAGTTGATCAACCACGGCGTAAGGGTGTTGACAGTGCCGGAGTAGGTCTCATGCATGAGCGGGATGTGGCCGTTGCCGCTGGTGCCGGCCTGCTGGAAAGACTGCTGGCTCTGCTGAGGAGTCTTGTTGTTCCAGTCACCGGCGTCAACGTCGTTGGTGATGACCTTGTAGTTCATCGACTTCATGGTCGGCAGGAACGAGCCACCCGTCTCGAGGTAAGGGGGGCGCATATAGAGCGGCTTCTTGCCGATCAGGTTGACGAGGGCATCCTCAACCTTGGTCATCTCACTGCGAATCTGCGACTCGCTCATGCTACCCATGTGGCCGTGGGTCCATGAGTGCGAGGCGATCTGGTGCCCCGACGCGTACGTCTTCTTGACTGCAGCAGCCTGGTTGTAGATGCAGCCGTACAGCGTGCCGGTCCAGAAGAAGGTGGCCTTGGCGCCGGCCTTGTCGAGAATGTCGACCAGTGTAGAGGTGTACTGGTACGGGCCATCGTCGTAGGCAAGGGCGAGCATCCCAGGGCTGCTGCACTTCTGGATCACCACGCCGGGGTTCGCCGCCCGCTTGATGAAGGTGAGCGGGTCCGGAGCCGGCGCGGCGACCGCGCTGGAGGCCAGGAGCAGACCGGCAATGACAGTTTCAGCGAGCATCTTGTTGGTGGCTTATTGAAATCCCGATGGAGGCTGAGCGCAAACAAGTCACACAGAGCTGTTGTCCCAAGCCCCTATATATCCAAACATCCCCGCGTTCCACTCTCCCGCCCCTGGCTTCCTGGTGCCCGGAACCCGCCCGCGTTCATCTCTAGCTCCGCGTCGTCGTGTGGGGAAGTGCAACGTGAGTCCGGGACAAAGGGAAGAAAACCAAACTGCGTCGTCCCTTCAAGGGACTGCAGGCGATCATGGGAGCATGATGATCTGGGGTATCCGATGCCAAGCTCGCATGAATGGCAACCAATTCTCCGGGGCGCTCATGGGTAAATCGCGACACAAGCGCCGGCATTGCCCGCGCCCTGAATAGATTAACCCGGAACCTGGCTCGGCATTTAGCCGCCTGTCCAACACTTTCCATATACAAGCAAGATCCGCGTCATCCAGCCCCTCTTACGTAGACTCGGAACGAGTTCTTTGGAGGAAAGAAAGAGATCCATTCCCAGTCGGAGTTAACTTCGCAACAGTAAATGAAAGGGGCACTTCAGGGGAACGATCCGTGCCATGATGGCCGCGCAACTCTGATGAGGCCCAAGCTCGTGCTTGAAAATCTCTTGTAATGCCTTCCACAACCCGGAGTTGAAGTTGAGCCAAGTTGAGGGCATGCGGAAAAAGTCAGGGCACAATCAGGCCACCAAGACTGGGACCGACCAGAGGTGTGTATCGGTTCAACTGTGTCCCATCACTACGAGGTGGCAACAAAAGCAACAACATGCATGTAATCCTCTAAAAAGGGTATGTCTCTGTTTACAAATGTGCCATATCATTGACGGCTAAGGTATGGCTTGTGGGTACCTAGACCATAATACTTCACAATTGAGTGTCGCTCAAGAGCACAAGACATACGCAATTCACACTAGTGTGTCATTTGACAGCACTGGGAGAAACGCATCTTCCCTTAATACTTGTAGATGCCTGGTACCAAAACAACCGTCGAGGCATTGGGCACACGGGTGCTGGCAGCTTGCTTTTGTTTGTAGACTTGCCTCTGCTGTCCACCAAACATACCATGTGGTACTCCTGTTCTGAATTTCTCTACATTTAGTGTTCAGCGCCTCTAATTTGTTTGTGAAGCTACCAAACGTGAACAGCGCAACTGATGTTATTACATCGTCACAGCATATCAACTCCCTGGGACTGGGAGGGATAGATCCGACGGAAAACTGGAGATGTGTTCTGCAGTTCACGACACACACGCAAAACACACAACGAAAGGAGACTGATAGAGATTTTTTCAAGACCATTCCCAACTGTTGTGGACTACTTAATTAAACTTAACTCCGTTTTCAGGTGGTTGGATTATCTTCACGAATATAGTTTGAGAGTTGATACATTTCTGTACACATGCTTGTGAGTCTTCAACATTTGACATGTGCGCTTGTGGGATCTTGACCAGGTGGCAGTCTTTGGGTCGAATATCAACGAGTTTTGAGCAATTGTTGCTCAGCAAGAAGATACAAAAGAGGTACTCTTCAACTTGTC